AATTTGATTATCAATTTATTTCTAGATCGATATATACATATTAAATTTGATGATGATTTAAAATATACTCGCAAGGTTTTCAAAGGTCTTCCGCAAGGTTCGGTTTTAAGTCCTTTATTATACAATATTTATACGTCAGATTTAGACCAGTCCATTTCAAAGTGTAGAATTTTGCAATACGCTGATGATATCTTAGTTTATGTAAATGATAAATGTATAGAATCCTGTGCTAATGCGATAGAACAAGATCTCCTCTCTATGGCCACGTGGTTAGATGATCATGGACTTGAACTTTCCCCAAGTAAAAGTAATACAGTAATTTTTTCCCGCAAAAGAGTTTTACCAGAAATACAGGTTCGCCTTCTTAATTATCCGCTCAAAAATATTCACCAAGTTAAATTTCTTGGTGTAATTCTTGATAATAAATTATCCGGTATGCCTCATATCATTTATACCCAAAAAAAATGCGAAAAAAATATAAACATTCTAAGAGCTTTGTGCGGAGTATGGTGGGGCGCCCATCCATATTCTTTAAAATTAATTTATAATGCAATTATAAGAAGTCGATTAGATTATGCCTCATTTCTTCTTGTACCTGCTAATAAGAAAGGATTGAAAATTTTAGATATCGTTCAACACAAGTCTTTAAGATTAATTTTAGGCGCTATGAATTCATCGCCTATCAATGCCCTGCAAATTGAATGCGGTGATCCTCCGCTTTCTATTAGACGACAATATTTATCAGATGCTTTCTTTTTTCGTGTTCTTCAATTTTCCAATCATCCACTAATCCCTAAAATTCGTTTACTTTCTCATTACATATTAATTAATTTAGGAAAATACTGGCGTAATAAAGAAACACCTAATCTAGTAAAAAGCTATGAACAATATAATTCCTTCCTAGATCCAATTCATAGGTCGGTGACTCTGCCTCTTTTCTCCAATTCGTTTGATGTTGCACTTTACAAACCCAATGTTATATTAGATATAGGATTAAATAAATTTTCTATTGAATCAAATAAAAAATTTATGTTTGCGTTGGACAAGAATTTTCCAGGTTATCATTATATTTTTACAGACGCTTCTAAAATTAACTCTAAAGGTTGTACTGGCTACGCAATATACCATCAAAATTGGAGAATAGTTCAAAAAATGAAAAGTCCTCCCGAATCTTCAGTTTTTACAGGAGAAATGTTAGCCATTTTACAAGCAATAAAATATTGCTATAGTTTTAAATTAAAATCAAGCGTGATATTTTCAGATTCTCTTAGTTCTTTACAGGCATTGTTATGTAATCCTTTCTATGAAATTTCCCGCAATCCTTTGATATTTGAAATTAAGAAACTTCTATTCTTATACCAATTTCAAAACATCAACATTTCTCTTGTTTGGATTCCTAGTCATATTGGTATATCTGGTAATGAATATGCTGACAAACTTGCTAAACAAGCTATTGTCTGTGGGGACACATTCCTATTTAAAAATTATTGCTATGACCTTATAAGGAATACGAAATTATTGTATAGAAATAGGTGGTCAAACCATTGGGACAAAACCAAAACGACAAAAGGCTGTCAATATGCTAAAATTCAACCCTCCATTCCTTCTAAGCCTTGGTTTTATAAATTAACCTTAAATAAGAAACATACATCAATGTTATGTAGAATGCGCTTGGGTCACTGTTGTAATTCGGTTCACCTTGCTAGGCTTCATATTAAAAATACTTCTATATGTGAGTGTGGTTTAGATATTGGTGACCTCAACCATATATTCTTCTCATGTCCTTTATATGATCACACTTCATTATTTAACACTTTGGTAAAACTGAAAATACCTTTACCTACAGAAATTCGTTCTCTTTTAATTTATTCTAAAAAAAGTAAAAATGTTTTCAATTGCCTTATGGAATATTTAGATTTAAATAATATTAAGTTATAAAATTTTATTCATTATTTAGAATTTAATAGTATTTATATAGTTTTATTTAATATTTTAAATGTGGTAATGAGTTCAGTTTTATTTTATTTTAATTCTATATAATTATAATGTTCTTCATTTATTGAATAAACTTCAGTACAAGTCATTTCATATTTCATTAGTTCTTAATCTTTTTCGGTTTTTAACCCTTAGTAGCCTTATTTACGAAAGTGATTTTTTTTTAAATATTAATGTGTTTGCTTGAGGGTCTAGATGAAGGGAAAAATAGCTAAAAAAATCACAATATTAATTTTACATATTTATTTAGAAAAAAAAAACAGGTATCAATTTTGATACTTCAGGTATTAAGGCCATAAAGAAATCAGATATACCTATGCATGAAATAATGCGAAACATTGATTGTTTTTATTATCGTATAACGACACTTTACACTTTTTACAGAACCAGGAGGTAAGTTTCCTACAATTATTAAATTTACACTTATTTCTAGAATCCATAAATATTTTTTCATGACCAATACAATCGCAACGCACGTCAGTAGAGGGTAATACTTGTACACCTGTCCGGGGTCTTTTAGAAGGTACTGTAGTGTCTTGTCGACTGTTGGTACTGGGTCTTCCCCTTTTATTTTTCGAGTGACTTTGATATCTACATAAAGTATCGGCAAGCTCAGTTCTAAAATCTGCTAACTTCATAATGTTCTTCTGAAGTTTTCCTTTCACTGTGTTTACCTTTTTGTATAGTACCCAAGCATTGATGACAGTCATGTCTAACAAGTGGTAGAAGAGCCTCGTTGTCCACTTTCTCGACTTTATCCGGATGCGATATCGACCAATGAAGCTATCCATCAAATCAACGCCGCCCATGTGTGCATTATATTCTTTTATGACCCTAGGACATGATACTTGAACATTGGCCTTTAGTTTTTTTTCGTAGCGGGTTATAGTATCCGCTGGTTCAGCGCCAACATACGTCGAAAGTAATAGAACTTGTTTGTTGTCTTTCCAACTTGTGGCCGAAAATTCTTGGCCTTCGTGAGAGGCCACATTTTCGTGATATGTTCCTCTGGGTACGTTAGATTTCATAATTTCTCGTTTCTCCGGCAACTTGCACGACTTTCCAAGCCTGTTTCTCTGTACTGTTCCAAGACAATAAATACCTTCGTTGGTCAAGTAATGTAGCAGAGGAATATTCGTATAAAAATTGTCAAAATAAGTTATATGATTGACGTGCCTTGGTACTGGTCGTAACAATCGAATAACTGTATTCGATACAGTTCCGAGGTCTGGCTCGCCAGGTAAACGGTCTTTGTCCTTAGCTCCTGAGTAAATCTCAAAACTGTAGGCATACCCAGACAGAGAGCATAAAACGTATAATTTGAATCCCCACTTATGGGGCTTGTTGGGTAAGTATTGTTTCATAAAATGTTTAATTTTAGTGGAACACATTTGCTCGTCTAGTGATAGACGATGCTCAAATGGTACAGTAATAAATTTCTTGTTCAAATAGTCTATCACTCGTCTTACTTTATGCAGTCGGTCGTGCTGGGGATGATCAATGGGCAAATGTTTAGAGTCATCATTCATGTGAAAAATTTGTCGAATTTTATCAAATCTGTTGCGATTCATTGTTTGTGCTATGGGTTCAAACTTTGTAATGTTTGACCAGTATGACCTGACACTGGGATAATGATATACACTAGTAAAAATAAGAATTCCAATAAATTTGCGTAATTCTAAGACAGTTACAGGTTCTGTAAAGTTGGGATTCTTTTGGAAGGCATATTTATTTGACTCGTCCACTAGAAATCTTAAAATTTCTTCACCGAAAAAATAAGAAAAAAACTGAAATGGAGTGTCTAAGTTCATAATTTCTTGTGAATACTCAGTGTTTCCAGCAAACTGGAAAGCATTTTGGACTATGTCCATATTCTTTACTCTCCACACTAAGCTTCTAGAGTTGAGGTTGTTCTGGCTGCTGGTTGTAGGAGTTGGGCTTCGTTCAACAGTCTCTAAATTATGTTGCATGTCGGTATCTACGATTGCTACAGGCAGATCTGCATCCAAGTTTAGGTCAGTGGGAAAATTACCTACATCCTCTTCATCTTCTAGCTCCATCAGGCGATCTCTTTGGCTTGAATAATAGTCTATGTCATCTTCATTGTCGGTGGAATCGTCTTCCGAAATTTCACCATTTTTTAACCGCATCAATATGCTCTCAATCTCTTCTGGTCGCATTTTTGATAAATTTCTATAATAAAATAAAAATAAAAGTAATCCCAACACCAAGCTAAGCAGAAAAATAATGAAACGGAAGTTCAAAAAGTTTTTATAGCTAAAGAATTAGTAGTTAGGTTTTATGTAGATCGGAATGCCCGAAGTATCAAAATTGATACTCACAAAAATAGCACTAGTTTCTTCAAGTAAATCATGCACTCGCAAAAAGTAATTATATCATAGCGAAAATAATATATTCACTTACCTCAAAAGTATTTATATTCTTCAGAAAAAGAAAATATATCAAATTTGTTTTCAACAAAACTTTTAGTAAAATGTGTTTACTTGTTCACTTTGCCGCGCAAGTAATATGTCATAGATAAAATAAAACAATAATGACATTTGCTTTTTTTTTTTAATTTCGTTGGAAAGAATATTATACAACAGTAAAATACGAACAGCCAACCTATAAAAAAAAACTAATAGTAATGTGAACATTCGGTTTAAAAGATTGGTATCAAAATTGAAACTCTAGGTTATTAAGGGTTAATCAGAATCATAGTTTTCATTTTTATTATTCGCCGTTTTTTACAAGTATTATTTATTGACTGGAGGTTGGCAGTAATTGTAAGGTTGCCATAAAAAAAAAAATATATATATATGTAGCAAGCTAATGTACGAAATCAATTGTTGTAGTCGTAGCCCTAAGGGTATTAGTGTTCTGTGGTCGTAGCCAAAGAGTATAGCGTAGCAACATCTGCTGAAATTAATTTAGCCGGTGTATCTTTTTTCACTTTTTTCCGAAAGTATTGATACACAAAAATTTGTATTATCGATAGTTTGAGGATGCCGAGTCAATACGAGGAAGAACGAGTTTGGGAAGGGTCTAACCACAACCAATACGAAGTATTACATTAAATATGTCAAATATAGTGCATAAAATTGAAATTCATAATTTGAGTTTTATCTAAATTATATTTTAGGAAGAAGGTGGTGAAGATGTTATCGATAACCCTGAAGAAGTGCTGCAAGAATGCTTGGAAAAATTTAAGACACCTGATTATATCATGGAACCAGGTATATTTGGACAGTTAAAACGATACTTCCAAGCGGGAGGAAATCCCGAGCAAGTTATTGAACAGCTGTCTATAAATTACAATGCTGTTGCACAAATGGCAAATTTATTAGCTGAGTGGTTAATACTTGGAGGTGAGCATAGACATGCATTTTATTATACCTCTTATTTTAACACATTAAAATAATTTTGCCATATAAAATCATACACATCATTTTGTTGTTTCTTACTATGTCTTCTAGCAGGAAAGGCTATATCTTAGACTGGGTGGTGAATAACATTCTAAGAATGCATTAACACTAAATTTCTTTTCAGCTCTACTTGAAAGAGGCATACTGGCAAGTGATATAATTAGGTACTATCTGTTGTCTTTGTTTGAACTATTAGCAAATGTATATTTTAATCATACAAGTTGTAAAATAGTACCTATTAACCTGCATTAGCACCCGAAAAACCTCTTACATATTATGTTTCAAATCTTGTAACACAAAATAAGACACAACATGTTTTGTTGCTTCTTGAGTTTGTACTCCAGGAAACTTTCAATTTTGTGACAAATTTTAAGATTTGTTACTGTTAGCATTAGAGCTGAATAAAAACTTTTATATTATACATGTTTGACAATGGATCTACCGAGCTTTATGTTCGCACTGTAACTTGTTTGTCTCAAAACTTATTTTTAAACTTGTTTTTGATGATAGCTAAATCGAACAGTAAATATAAAATTGATACAAATGGATATTTTTAAATAATAGGTATTACTACATTATATATGTAGGCAGAGTTCAAGGTTAAAGGCCCGTAACGCATCTGCAATTCCCCTAGTGTTGCGGTTGTTCATGGGCAGCGGTAGTCACTTACCATCAGGCGAGCTACATGTTTGTTTGCCCCCTCTTCTATAAAAAAAAAATATATAACAGTTGCCAATCCACCTGCCAAGCTTGGTAAATATGGCAAAGTTCAGCAGTGGACTTAGAATAGACTAACTGTATCCCAAAAGTGTATACCATTTATCCTATTATGATAACACTTTATTGAGTTGTTGATTGTGCGCCTGCAAAGATTTCTGACAAAAAAATTATATAAGTTTGCTTATTTTTTTTTTCTATGCGCACCTATACCATTCATTCAATTACAATAAAACTTTGTGTAGTTGTACCTGTGAATATTTCTGACAAAAAAAAAACATTTTCCTTGGCATCATAGTAGAAAACTTATCTGGGGAAATTCAACATCAACTTAAATGTATAAAGACAAAACTAAATATATTGTTTAGTACTATTCAATCTATGATAATGATTGTATACTCAAACAATATGTATACAGTATATTGTTGTATAATCTAGGAGCACCTATATTTCCTGAGAGTGTACCAATCCTACTACATTTAAAGCAACAATCCTCCTCGAGTGTCTGTGTTGCCCAGCTGAGCTAGATCTGTCGATTGCATTTTGGTTGAAGTTGCACTTACCTAGTTGGACAATTTGTCCTAACAAAATACACTTGTCAACAACTTTAAGAGTAGTTGTTCTAGACAACCACTAGTGCAATCTATACCCTAACTTAGCACATTATGATTTTAACCTGTATACAAAAAAAGCAAGAGGTTTGAAAGTAAAATGATGTTGAGATATCTGAGGTGTCTACAGAACAGTAGTTGGAGGCATTTTAGACCATAAACCCCTTAAAAAGTGTAATGTGTTCAAGGTACATACTTTAAAAAGGTTCATTCTAGTAATAAAGAATAAAAATATTATATTTATCGTGTATCTAGTTTATTTTGTCATAACTCTCTTATAAGTATATTACTGTACATCATACTGTTAAATAAAATATAAAAAAGGAGGCAACTTTGCTTGGATGAAAATTAATACTATTACTTAAAATATCCAGTCTCTACTGGATAATGCGTAGCTTGCCTTTGGCAAACAAATGATTAAAGAGTATCAAGCTTTTAACATATCTTTTATACTATAACATGTAAAATAGATATATTTGCAGGTGTTAAAGTGACCGAAGTACAGGCTATGGTGGAAAATCACCTTAAGGATATGATTTTAAAAACTTTTGACCCTAAAAAAGCAGATACTATTTTTACTGAAGAAGGTGAAGTAAGTGATTTTAGTGCACAACAATATACATGTTAAACTTCTTTTATAAATAAGATTCTCATAAGTATTTAGTTAGATTCTTTTCTTTGTTTTTATAGACACCAGCATGGTTGACAGAAATGATTGAACATCCAACGTGGAGGTCTTTGATATACAGATTGGCTGAAGAATATCCAGATTGTCTAATGTTAAATTTTACAATTAAGGTTAGAAATATATTATAAAGTAAATGTAAATGCCCAAAATTTTGTAGAAATCTTATAAATATTGTGTAAAATCTTAATAAGGTTTATGCCTAAAAATAGGTCTATAAAAAAGGACTTCATGCATACCACACACAAACTCGACAAGAAGCTGGTATGGTAAATTACTACACAGTTGTATTTTATTTACGACAGTTACCATTTTCGATCTACAAAGCAAATAACTAGTCTTCTCGTCTTCTAGCAGTTGATTAAAGAAGTTACGGAGAATTAACAGTAACTTAGTGCACAATGTATTGAGTCCGCACAGCCTGTCTAGTAATATACATAGAAGTCTTAGTATCTACATAATTAAATTTGTTTGACTGGCATCTTTAAAACTGGTTATTAGAGTAGAATAGAAATCTCGATTTACCAAATTCTCAATTCACCAGGTTATCAATATACCACATAATATTCTGTTAACAAGTATTAAGGGTGGCTAACTTGCTACATTTGTAATAAAATACAACATGAAAACCAAGGAAAAATATGTTTAAGCAAAAGATGCTGATGTCTGAAAATACAAGCTAAAAACTCCATCAAGTTGCAAAGTAAAAAACAAAAGAAATAAGAATAATAATATTTTTTTTTAGATAACTAATAAATCTAGATTAAAGAATCTAAGTCTATCCAAAGGGATTTCAAAAGCGAATTTCCAAGTCTTTGATTAGATTTTATTAACTGCTCTGATTGTACATATACATCAAAATAGAATTTTCTGTCATAATTTTTAATTTTGTTTCTTAATGCTCTTTTGCTAAGTTGATTATCTAGTGCATTTTATAACTTGAGAATCTGAATCATAATTGATAATTTAGGCCTTATTAGTGTTTGTCTAAAGAAGAAGGAGACATCTCCATACATTCTCGGGCCCAGGTGTTAACAAGATGAAAGTCAGACCATTTGAAAGCTTATATACAAACAATTCATAGCTGAAAATCTGGCAAGATTTGTCAATCTAGGAGCTGAGTTATTGTAGAATAAGTAAAAGTGATTTTATGTATTACCTACACTGTAACATGTGATTTTTCACTATAATTACTTAAAGATATAAAAGCAGGATCAGTATAAAATCACGAAAGGAAAGCTGTGGTTATTTAGGAAACAAAATGGTGAAACGATTAACGAAAGTTAAAACAACAACAAATTGAAGTGAATATTAGGCAGATTACTTGAATTGTTGTTGTTAGTGTTATTTGTTGGCATATTGGCATTTCGATATTTTGTATTTTTTATTATTGTTTTGTAGATATGTTCCCAATTTTTTCATCGCTCTAATTAACACACAAAAATAATCGAAAGTAGATATTAAAATGCTGAATTTAATCAAGAATCGATTATATTGCGTTCGTTTCAAATCGAATCGAAAATCGGTCTTTTCCTTTTAAGTGAATAGTTTTGTTTTGAAGTTTGAACACAAACTAATTTATAGCCAATTTTTTAAAGTATAAACCATTTAGTTAACTTAAGGCCCAAAAATTCCATTCTCCTTTGTGTTTTAGTTAATATCAGATGCTGGTTTCCAAGGGGAAATCACAAGTATTTCTACAGCAGCACAGCAAATTGAAGTGTTCTCTAGAGTGCTTAAATCAGCTATTGTGGGATTTCTGCAAAGTTCAGATGATTGGCAGAACAGTGTTAATGAATGTGCTGTAAGTATATTCATTACAAGTAGTTAGCTGATAGTTATAACTACCCCAACATATAACAAATATTCTATCTACTTAATTAAGGATACTAAAATATTGTTTATATAAAATAAAATTTGTATGTAAATTAATTTAAACTTAAAATGATCTTTTCGCTAGTTAGAAATATATTATAAAAGTAGCAGTAGTAATAGTAGTCACAAGTTCTAAGAGTAAACTTCATGGCATGGTCATGGTACGCCCACTAGTGGGGACTGCTTTCTTTGACCATCTAATCGTCCTAATGCTAAAGACAGCAGTGCACATGCATGACATAGCAGAAAATCGAATTGTTGGGCTTCGTAGTTATTTCAACTACAGTAGAGCGATTTAATTTATTCAATAAAATTTAATTTGTTTTTGATTATTTTAAATAAGTAATTATTAATAAATAGCCTTTATTGCTCATTAATTACACTCATACAAAGTCAGTTACATTTTTAATCTATAATTTTAATTATTATCTAATATATAAAAATTAATAACTGTTTGTTTGTATTTTATTCGCTGCCTTACTGTTAATCTGATTGCAGTAAAACTGCAAATTTACACTTGGGGTTATAGCCATAGTACAATATACATACATGCTGTAGGTGGCGCACGTACCGTACCGACAAATTTATTTGAAAGTTATATATCATTTCAATAACTTTTATTCAATTAACGCAATTTTTTTAATTCTTAGTAAATTTTTATCCCTAAATTCCGCGTCCTATTGAGAAAAGACATTAACAGGGGGAAAAACAGTGTTTTTATTTTTATCACTTAGAATCATAATGAATTATCCTTAGATATCATAATTTTCAGTTATGAACCTGATTTACTATATTAAAGTTCAATTCTAATTTGTGTGACTACTTTGTTTTCCTTAATTTGATTGCTGTAGCTAACTATGAAGTTTACGATAGAATATTTTTTTGACATTAGTTTAATACTGGGCGTTATTACGTAATACAATAACATGTCTTATGACCTATACCTTTATTATTTTGTATTCCTAAAAGTCAACCCGTAAATATTGTGCGCGTTTATGTAATTTATGCAATATTTACACAGAACTATAATCAAACATTAAAGTTATCGTCCTTCGGAAGATGCTCCCTAACCCCACCTTCCTTCCAGCATGTATAATATTATATCAGCTGTTTAATCGTTATAACATTTAGTCATGTAATTTAAATTTATTATATTGCATATTGGAACCTCTTTCAGAAAATGGTCTGCCATGGTGCTCATACATATGTATATAGTCAAGTAATTGTACACATTTTATCACAAGAGCCAAGAGGAGGTGCAATCATGAAAAGACTAGGACAAGAAATAACACGATGTGCTCAACAAAGGTAGAATATAACAACCTCTTTGTACTTGCTTTTTAATATTAATTATTAAACATATTTGCATTCTTAATTTTTTTGTTAGACCTCTTTCTGCCGCCAAGCAACACTGTTTTGTCTTTGTGTTGTGTTCAATGAAGGAATGAATGAATGTAACATATTTGCATTTTTATTTTTTATTAGACCTTTTTTGACGCTACGCAGCAGTGCATTGTGGCTGTTGTGTTCTAAAAACAACTAATACAAATACTTTTTAATGGTTTATTCTATAATAATAACTATTATCTACCATTAGTGCAAATGAAAGCACGTCATTGCCTCTGCTTTCATAGTTTTATTGTCTCACGGAGAAAGAAAGACGTAATATAGGTTTTTTTTTACAAACGTACCTTTCACGCTGCGCTGGGGATATTTTCCTTTATCGTGGAGGCATTTTACATATTATGCACATGCACTAACAACCAGACACGGAACAATTATTTGGAGACCTTACAAACACTTGCTCCGTGCCAAATTAGAACTCGCGGTTCCCAACGCCAAACTCAATACTTTGCGCCAACAATTTGTTTATCTAAACGCAGCAGTGTCGGTTAAGTTCGTAAAAGAAAAATATGACCCACCGATAGTGTGTTCACGCTTTCAAGCGAACACGAACGAATTCGAGCTACTTTTGATTTACTATATTAATCTACTTTGATGGACATAGTCCTGACATTAATATACATAGATTTTTCAGCTTTTCAGTTAAAGAAAATAGAACGTTAATAATAACCATTGAAGTTGTGATCTACTATGTACTAAAAGAGACACCGAGACTTGGTTGTTTGCAACACGCTTTAGAGCGCACAGAGTCGAAAAATGTTTTTGAGATTTTATTTCACAGTTTTCTAGGCGTAATTATTATCTATAACTACCAAATTTCAGATTTGTAGAACCTAGGATCTCTCAGCAAAACCGCGGACGGAAGGAGGGACATGGCGAAACTACAAGGGTTCCTTGTTGTGTAACTACGGAACCCTAAAAAGTTTTGACAATCCTCTCTTGATAGTTAACACTACCCAAAAAATTCCGAAGAGACCGAAACAGGTGAAAACCTGAGGGGCAAAGTCAAGACTATATGGTGGATGCATTAACACTTCCCGACCAAGCTCTTTCAATCTTTGCCGAGTGGTCAGAGATGTGTGTGGTCTGGCGTTATCATAATGAAAGACCACACCTTTTCTGTTGATTAATTCTTGCTTGAGTTTTTTTAGTTCTTGGCAGTAGATATCCGAGTCTGTTTTTCCCGGTGGTAAAAGCTCATATTAAACGATTCCCTTCCAATCCCACTATACACACAGCATTCACCTTATTGTGTTAATCCGGGTTTCGCTACAGTCTGTAGAGCTTGATTACCCTTTGACCATGATTTTTTTGCACGTTCTTGTCGTAGGTGATCCGCTTTTCATCACCAGTGATCAATCTTTACAAAAATGCTTCGGTTTCATTACGTTTCAATAGAGAATCGCATATGTATACGATTCATTAGGTTTCTTTCAGTGAGCTCGTGTGGTACAGAAATATGGAGCTTTCTTGTATAACCAGACTTTTCAAATGGGTCCAAACTGTTTTGTGGTCAATCCTCAATTCCTCGGCTGTCGCTACTAATATGCCGATCTTGCTCCACTTTTTTAAAAATTGCACAGACTTTATCCGTATGAGGTCGACTAAAGCGAGCTGCAACTTTGACATCAAAATTCCCTGACTGAAAACGCTTGAACCAACTTTTGTGCTACTCTAAACTGCATTAGGTCCATAAACGTTACATTTTTTTTTATGCGATTCGAGTAGCATTTTCCCCTTTTTTGTTATAAAACTTGAACAGAATGTATCGGATTTCTTTGTTAGATTCACTCATTTTGACGGACAGAAAAGTATTGAAAAATGGCGGAAAAGTGTTTTTTACTCTTTATTTTTCTTTTTCTTAATGTCCTATATGTATTGATAAAAAACCAGCCATATAGAAACAGAATAACCAGAAAATTTTCTACACTAATAGAAACAAAATACGAAGACACCCGATTTCCCCGACCTATTATGTACTCAGTTATCTTTTGTATTATCTTTTATATATAGACATATAGCATATTGTGGAATAATAAAACAATAAAAGCAACTAAGGACATCTTTTCGAATCAGTGTAAATTCTTTATCATAAAACTCAACAAAATCATTTATATTTTAGTGGGCATGATGTTACTCCAATTACACTAGCGCTGACAGCTGGTGAATCTTGGCGTAGCGCGCGAACGGCACTGGCGGCTATGTTATCTCGTGGCGCACTAAACCCTGCCGATATTTCTGTGCTATTCCGCGCCTATACCCAACCTGAACCGCCGCCAGTTCATTTATTGAGAATACCACAATTTTTAGGTAGCTACATAACCATTTGATATATTAGTTTCACATTGAATATTATTCTACGTTCAAATTTACTTGACGTATGAACGGTTGGCGGTCTTGTGAAATTTATAGCACATTATTGCTTTATTAACTTTAGTTACATTCTAAGCGCACAATAACACGTAAACATGAGAATAACAATCAGTAGAACTATAAGCAAAGAGGTGATATTTGAAAAATATTATAATGGACGACAGCAATTTCAGAAAACAATCCCCAATCAACCACGCGTCAAGTAAAAATGCACGTACAATAATATATTATTTTAATAATCTATAATGCGGACAATAATGTTTTACTTTACGGGTGAGTTGGTAAAAAATACAAATGCATTGTATTATTCCAGAACTCCTGGTAGATTCATTATTTAAATCGGGGAGTAAATTAAATCCCGAACACAAATCAAAATACATGTATTTGTTGGCCTATGCTGCAAGTGTATGTGAAGGCGTGACTCCAGGCAGACCGGTTAAAGATGAATTAAAAGCAACAGTACAAGCAATAGAAAAAATACACGCAGTCTGCAGCAGCTCAGCCAGTTCAAGTGAACTGATCGCAGAATTACCTACGTTATATCATTGTATAAGGTAATATTCCTTAAATATATGTTATTAAAAAACAATCCCACCAAAATGTCAATGTTCGATAATCGTGCGGTTATTTTACAGGTTCCCCGTTGTTGGTATGGGCGTTTTAGTGTGGGTAGAATGTGTCGTAACGGAGCCTTCTTATTTCAAACTATGCACGGAGCATTGTCCAGTACATTTGGCTTTATTAGACGAAGTCGCTTCGTGCCACCAGTTACTTCATCACAGACTTTTGAGATTACTTATACAACTTTTTGAATCACCGCAAGATGAGTTGGAAATATTAGTGCAGGTATAATTTTATTTATAGTTATTAATATAAGTGTGTATTTGTGAAACAGTATTTCTATTTTTAATATGCAAACATTTTTCCATTTTATAGCTTGAATTGAAAAAAATGCTTCTTGACCGCATGGTTAATTTACTCAGTCGTGGCTGTGTGGTGCCCGTGCTTCGATATATTAAACAATGTTGGCAACGTGGCGATACAGACATATCACTCATTAGATATTTTATCACAGAGGTATTTTTATATTATTTTTGACACTGGCAATTATGACATCTCTAGAGCCTGCTAGCAACGCCAACTACTAACTACTTAATTACTAAATAAATCATTAAATTAGACTGTTTAATTACTTAAAGTGTTTTGTATGGAAAAATCATATGTACATGTTCTTTTAATTTAATTTATTTCACTGCCTTAACCTCCCAGGCCCCGACATTTTATTGGACAAACTTAGTCAGGACTATGGTCAAGCCAAAGAGTATAGTAGGTCAGGCCAAAGACAATTTTTCTTATATGATGGTAAATATAACTTAGTCTATTATTGGTTATTAGTTACTATGTTCTTATCCAAAAAAAAAAATCAACAATTAAAATTATTTGTTATTTGTATAAAGGTCAAGTGAGCGCTAGAGTAACGACGATTTGTAGATAAATGAAATGTTTTGAGAAATTATCAATTACCGTGTAGTGGCGGTGTGTAAATATTAATATCATTCCGTGGACTTCGTAAGAGGCGACTGATCCAAAGTTCTGTACGCGTAGTTCATTTTCTACCGACTTCAAAAAGGAGACAGTACTCAATTCGACTATGTTTTTTTATGTGTGTTACCTCATAACTTTTTACTGGGTGAACCGATTTCGATTATTCTTTTTTTATTTGAAAGCTGGTGCTTCACATTAAATATGAGCGCCGAAGGCCAATTCCACGGCGGCGGCGTGGCCTGAAATTTTCCGCGGCGGCGGCGGCGTCACGGCGTGGTTGGCCATAGGCCTTTGATATTGTTTTATCAGGAAGAGATTTCTTAAAAAAAAAAACTTATTGTTGTTACCAATAACAGCTTTATATTTTTAATAAAACCCTGGGGAGCCCCAGCCCAGTGATGGGAACAGTATTCCATGTAAAGCCGAACCTGCGTCTTGTAAAGTTACAGGCGGTGTGCCAGCATGAAATACTGTCCCACTCTGCTGAGCACGCAAAGCTTTATAGAGGCCAATTTGGCCTTCTCTTCCAAGTGACCACAATACTTGCACGTCAATCGATATGTCGACGCCGAGGATTCCGATACCAGCTGAGGCAACAAGGGGAGTGCCTTGAAACTGAAGAGATTCTTCAATCTGCAAAAAAGCTGGTAATTCAATTGCACAATTTCTCGGGAAGCCCATAGAAAGGGAGCTTCGAAAGAAGCGCTTTGTGCCAAACCCAAACAAAAATTTTCGCAATGTCCAAACTAACGGCCAATGCGGCCTCCTTGGACTCTTATGCCTCCGCTCATTTATGAGTCAGGTAGACAAGAACATCACCAGTTGATCGACCCCGACGAAAACCGTATTGGCGATCACTAATCAGCTGGTGATTCTCAAGATACCGCATGAGCTGGCAGTTTATAATGGATTCCATTATTTTGGAGAACAAGGAGGTGACAGCGATAGGCATAGCTAGATGGGTCTAATAATGCAATCGCGATGTTAGTGTCAGTGGCATTACACTCCGGACTAGACAATAATCTGAGGAGCCAAGAGGTGAGTGGCCGGAGACCTGATATCTATCTGAATGAGAGGTCAGCAGAAGGTCCAGGAACAGGGAAGGCACATGATCTTCAACTTCTGGAATCCGCGTAGGCGGAGTTACCAGTTGTGTCAGATCATATGCCAAGGCAAAATCATGAACAGATATCCCCGCATGATCGGTTAAACGTGAACCGAGCCATTCGTCGTGTGGTGAGCGTTAGAATCGCCGAGGATCACGATCTCTGCGGATGGGACCTGCTGTAGCTAGGAATCTGTAGCCATTAGTAGTGGTCGATCAATCGGTCTGTTTCGGCATTACCGCTATGGAACCTATAGAGGCACCCATAAACTTGCGGATAGTCGTCACTGTCTACGCGTAGCCAAAGGATGGACAGGTCCTTCAAGACTACCGAGGCGTCGAGAACAGATATCCTCTCTGATGTATACGCAAACTACAGCCCGAGGCACAAAGGAGTGTTCCAATTTGTACCCCGGGTAGGAGAGATACGAAGTATAAGCCGGAGAGGACACCTGCGTCTCGGTCAGAAAGAGCAAGGCCGGCTTCGCCGTCTCGAGATGGTAGTGGACGGCATTTAGGTTCGGGTGAAGTCCCCTGATGTTGCAGAAAGTCACGTCCTGGGGTCACCTTGGCCTTGTTGCTCAGCTTGCCCCGAGCAGTTATTGTCTTGAGCGGAATTTTACCCCTACCCCCCAGAATACGTGGGGCAGCCTGAGTACCAAGAAGTGGTAAGTCCCTCCTCAGGAGTGGAGTAGCTTGGTTGTGGATGTTCAGCAAGGGATTCTCCAATACCAGAAGTGCTGGTACCCTCCCGGTGTAGTATTACACTTCACGCCAATATTCTGTGAGGTCGTGGTACGTGCAATAGTCGAAGTTGCTGCCATTGGTAACACCACACAACAATACACGTTCACTCGGTGAAATATTCTACTTGACTGAGTGAGTGACGTGCGTGGCGAGGCAACAAGGCGAACTAATGCGGTCGGGCCGCGCGTGTGAGCGGGAAAGGAAGTTGCAACTCGTCGCGACGATGCGCGGCGGCGACGCGTCGACATTAACTCACGGCGATGACGGCGCGGCGCTCATATCTACTTCACATGTGGTCCCATATAAATTTGATTAAGGTTTGACCAATAGTTTTTGAGTTATTCTTAATAATTTATATTGAAGTCGGTTGTACAACATTTTTAATTTTAAAATTTTTGTTTTTGTTTTGTTTGTTGTTATTTCCGGCAGATAGATCTGTGGCAAAGACTAGAACCGCGATTCTGCTCAATCGCTTCTTCAATACAAACTATGTATGTTTTCTGAAGTTTCGCCGCATGCATTTCCAGATCTGTCAGCGCAATTTCCTGTACGTTATCATATGTTTTATTTATCGTGTTACTGCTATGAAAGCAAAAGATATTTTTTGATTCTTCTTTTGGGTCTTGCAAAACTCGCTCAACCCTAGACATACACAGTTTCCACACTTGTCATTTATATTATTCAATGTATTGCAATTTTCGAGACACTGAAAACGTTTTCGTAATTCGAACATGGCTTTGGATTAGAATATGAGAGACCGAACATGTACGAGCAGCTATGCAGGTCTAGAGAGAGACCAGTATCACTGCGACCTAAAAGATCTATTGTGATCGCTGCTATGTTTATAGTTCACTGCTAAGCCCTACGTCCTCAATGTATAGAAGGAGTTGCTTAGCTTTTTTTTATAGGATAGTGACAAACGAGCACACAGTCCACCTGATGGTAAGTGGTTTGCCTGTGGCCCATAAACATCTACATCTATCCTCTAATCAAAATGCAGATGCGTTGTCACCCGTGAGGACTAAGATGAAATGTCTATTTTTATTCTTGGTATTTGGTATTCTGCGATTGTGGTCCTTCCCCGGTCGAGCCGACCCATTCGTGCTACAGCTATACTACTAATATAGCTGCAGCATGGCTCTACCACGTATAAAGCTGTGAGCAATTTCATTTCTTCCAGGCGGAATACATAGTTTCCCAGATAAGGCTCTACGAATTCGAAACTAATAAGGGTCCGCAATTAGTCAGGATGTGTATAGGCGTTTCCTCCTCTAGGGAGCAAAACCGGCTCACCCTTGAGTTGCTTAGTCCCATGATGGACATGTGCTTTTTAAGACAACGGTGTCCAGTCAGGGCTCTTACCAGAATGCGCAATATATTTTTACCTAATCCCAGGGATTCCTGAGCGAATTTACGATCAAAAGCCCGGATTAAGTACCAGATCTCAAGTGATTTATTGTGATAAAGCGTTTCAAGGGTCAATCGGGCGAGGGTTTTTGAGATTCCACAAAATGGCTCGGGTCCAAAGTGTGTACTCTTTGAGCCCTCCCGTGCCAGCTTGTCGGCAATTTCATTACCTACATGATAAAATACATTACAAAGAGTCCTCACTTCCCCATTAAGTCACCTAGTTGTTGACCCCTTGGGTTCCGTTGCCCTATTCTAAATTTGCCTACTTCCAGCCCACCATACTCTCTTATGCCTAATTTTGCGTTGAAGTCTCCCACCCACATCTTAAAGTAACTAGATTTTAAAAGAATGCATGGCTCTAGAGATATCCTCATACATCGCCTCCACCCTTCTTCTTTAACCCTTTCGCTGTCCCGTTCACTACACATAGGTAATTGCTATTGTGTTACTATTGTGTCTGAAAACCGGACAGTGAAAGTGTTAAGTCACATGATATATTGTACTTAACATTACAATTCTATAAACAGAACTTTTTGTAGGTACTTGATGCAATAGCGCCACCTTATACTCAGGAGTTTGTTCAGTTAGTTTTGCCAATGGTCGAAAATGAAGAAATAACCGGAACAATGCGAGCTGAAGGCGAGAATGACCCAGTTTCAGAATTCATAGGTAATCATTCCTTTTTATAATAAGTATATACTTTACTATAATATAACATTAAAGACTGCTAATCTAAGAGAAACCATTAATCCGTGCCAATAGACAATGGAACTATAAATTAATGGTGCCCGTTATCTTGCCTCTCGCCCAGTTCGAGTAGGCAATTTAAGATGTTGTGATGAAACACGTATCCCGCAGTTGGCCTCTATTAAGAAGGTCTGGACACTGGTACGCTTGGCAGAGGCCAATTAATTATAAGGGGGCAAGTTCGGTACAAACGAAGTTCAAACAAAACGTTTGTTCTCTTTTTTCTTTTTTTAAAAACGTTACCCCCACACTAGGATTTCCTCCTGTGTCGTGGAGGCAGTTTACAAACATAAATTGCACAAGGACAAACATCCATTCTAACAGTGGTAGAGCCAAGCGGCAGCTTTTGCTGTCGCACGGATGGGCCGGCTCGAACCGGGGTGGTACCACGACCTCACAGAAAACCAGCGTGAAGTAGAGGTATATCTCTGCGTTTCGCTTGGTGAGTGCAGGTGGCCGTGAGGTTCTTTTTACTGGAAATGAGGCATTCCATCGTAGTCCTCACGGGTGTCAACGCATCTACATTTTGATTTGTAATAGAGGATAGATGTAGATATTTATGGGCCGCAGCAACCACTTATCATCAGGTGGACTGTGTGCTCGTTTGTCACCCTTATCCTATAAAAAAAAATCCAGACCCGGAACCATTATATGTAGGCCATACAAATACTTGTTCCGTGCGGGATTCGAACCCGCGGCCCCCAGCGCAACAAGTGATTGCTAAGCCACTGCGCCACGGAGCCGTCAATAGGAGCCGTCGTCCGTTTGCCGATGCCCGTTACAAACGTTAGTCGGCAAACACGAACATCCCGGCGGCTAAAAGAGTTAAGATCTGAACGGGCGCCAAGCTCCATGCAGTCTATATACAGTTAGTATCAGTACTAACTACAGTAGCGATTTTAACATATACGAATAATCAAAGACAAGTTTTTTCACAGGAATTTCAATTTATTGTAACGCTGGTCGATAGGGTGAATAAACTATGCCGATTAAAAAAAAAACACTTCCTAAATTCTGTCGGCGTGAAACGTAGAGGGTCAAATGAACGGTCGTTATTTTGCCACTCATAAGTTTAAAATATTTATCACAAATTACTCTCAAAACAATTTAAATTAATGAACACTAAGTTATGACTTTACGTTATAAATTATTCATGAAACGCATTAGAAATATATTACCAAATTATTTTATTTTTTTATAGAAGAGGGGGCAAACGAGCATGCGGCTTACCTGATGGTAAGTGGCTACCGCCGCCCATGAACAACCGGAACACCAGGGGAATTGCAGATGCGTTGTAGGCCTTTTAGAAAGGTGTAAGCTTTTTTCTTGAAGGTCCCTAAGTCGTATCGGTCCGTAAACATCGCCGGTGGTAAACAATTCCACAGAGAAGTTGTACGAGGAAGAAAACTCCTAGTAAAACGTACAGTCGTGGACCGCCAAGCATCCGGATGGTAAGGATGGTATCTTGAATTTTGACGCGATGTGCGTTCGTGAAATTTGGCGGCTGAAATTAATCCGAACAATTCCTCAGAGCACTTCCCGTGGTAAATTCGATAGAAAATGCAAAGGGATGCAACATCCGCCACAGTGCCAGTGTATCGAGCCGATCAGAAAGAACTTGATCGTCGACGATTGGAACCGCTCTGCGCTGGATGCGGTCAAGTGGAAGGAGCTGGCACTGGGATGCCCCGGCCCAGAGATGAGAACAGTATTCCATGTGAGGCCGGATTTGTGCTTTGTAAAGTTGCAAGCGATGTGCCGGCATGAAATACTGTCTCGCTCTGCTGAGCACGCCAAGCTTTTTAGAGCCAATTTGGCCTTCCCTTCCAAGTGACCACGAAACTGCACACTATTCGATATGTCGACGCCGAGGATTCCGATGCTAGCTGAGGCAGCAAGGGGAGTGCCTTGAAACAGAGGCGATACGACAAAGGGGTTTTTAGCTTTAAACGCGCAAACTTGTGTCTTCTGGGGGATTGAACTGGACTAGATTTAGTTGCCCCCAATCCGAGACTTTGTTCAGCAAAGGCTCGACTTCAGACTCAAGTTTGTCCCGGTATTCGGCGACGTTTTCCCGCGAAATATTGGCACGGCCGGTATATAAGGCATCACCAGTGCTGTCGTCTGCATAGCAATTAATGTTACCAGTTTGCAACATATCACTGATATGCAGGAGAAACAGCATTGGTGATACCACGCGGCTTTGTAGAACACCAGCGTTGATAGGCTTGAAATCAGAGCATGCACCGTCTACTACGACCTTGATGCTCCGAGCAGCAAGGAAACTGGTGAACCATTTGCACAATTTCTCGGGAAGCCCATACGAAGGAAGCATCGATAGAAACGCTTTGTGCCAGACCGGATCGAAGGCCTCGGTATGTCCAAACTAACGGCCAATGCCTCCCCCTTGGACTCTACTGCTTGCGAGTCAGGTAGACCAGAAGATCACCAGCTGATCGACCCCGACGAAAAACGTACTTGCGGTCACTAATCAGCTGGTGATCCTTAAGCTTAAGCTGGTACCTCATGAGCTGGCAGATTTTTTGGTGATGATGGATTGGTTGGACGGGTCTGAACGGTCGCCTTTTTTAGGGATCGAGTAGACCAAAGCTGTCTTCCATGAATTCGGGACTACGCCTTGGGAGTAGTAGTACCGGAAAAGACGCGTTAAAACCGGTGCCATCTCCGGAGCACATGTCTTCAGCACAATGGGGGGACTCCATCAGACCCACTCGACTTGCTGATATCCAGGAAAAAGAGTGCTCTACCACACATAATATGGCCTAAAAGAACATTGCTTCCTTTTGGACAGGTTCTGTGGGTTAAAATATATAAAATGTTACACAATGGCACTTTGAGAACTTGTGTAGTGCTCCCCTCCCTTTCCACTTCATATGCATGGTTTGCAATTGGGTACAGGCACATTATACATCAAATTACTTGAAAGGGCCGACGCGTTTACGTCGTCCTTCTGGGTGTCCCGCGTTTTCTGAATAACTGTATTATTGTTGTTGAAAATAAATAACTAAAATTTTGTTTTTCTTTCAGTTCACTGCAAGGCGCATTATGTCAGTACATAAGTGGTTTATAAATTTAAAAATAAAAACATTTAAGTATTATTATGCTTTTTATTTATCAGTAACTCCTGGAAGCCTTTCTCTCATAATATCTTTTAAGAGCTTGTTCAAAAACTTCTCCAACTGTTCGTTTTTTCCATATATCAATTTTCTCTACCGGCGACTTTGAATTACTTTCACCTTGTGTAGACTCTGCATTGTTCGCTTTGACATCATTGTCTTTAACATTCTCCTTAGAAAATGGCTCTTTATCCGTGGGGATTTGTTTTTTATGGTCATTTATTTCCTCATTTTTGTCTTCATCACTTGATTCGTCAATAGAAAAGTCAGAATCAGCATCAATGTTCTCTTCACTGTTCTTGGTCTTTTTTGATAATCTGATTTCTTCTAAGTTACACCGGTTAATTTCTTCATCAGAATCTGCAATTTCTCCATCAGATAGTAATTTATCATTATCTGCTGATGATTTTCTTTTCCTATAATTTCTTTTTTTCACCGTTTGAGACTTATCTGTGTCACTAATGTTTAAATTAGGTTTTTCTATTACATCTTTTCCATCATTATCTTCCACTTCATTACCTTTATCCTTTCCCAGTTTTTGTTCATATAAATGACGGTAAAAGCCACCTGAATTGAAAATAATACATTATTTTTTGTATTTTATACACTAGGATCACATAATATATGTAGTTCTATATCTTGTGATTATTGACTTTTATAATATTCATTGTTTCGTCTTTAAAGAAACTGGATTAGAAATGAAATGTTATAAAATAAATGTTTGAATGAGTAGAAGTGTACACTAATTATCAAATATGTCTTAAAAATAGGCATTTCAATAGTAGTATGGCAAATTGAATTCATGAATGAATATTACTTAACACAAAAGTAAAGTTACACCTGTATATGTCCCACTCCTCACATTACTGAGGGTTTTAAGGCAAAAAAAGTGTCAACCGTGCTGCCCCAATGTGGGTTGGCAGACTTCACATCAATTTGAAATATTTATTTAATTCCTCAAACATGTTTTCTTGATGATGTTTGCCTTCACCACTGAGCACATGATAAATCATCACTTAAAATTGAAATTAACAATTGCATTAATGGTTGTGATGTGATGAACTATGAAATTTAAAGTCAACATTTAGCCCTTGAGCTACCTCAGCTTACTACTGTAGAAAACAGTCAAATGGACCATGAGGAATTATCATATGCAGTAACTCATTCCCTTGATTATTATTTGAATTAACTAGGAAGAAAATAGAATATTGGTATAAATCATTGCCATACAGAGCAGAGTCAAAATACTGATAATTTGATAGCACTAACAGAAAACTAATTTTTCAAGATGCACTTATTTCTCAAAATCTTATAGTCCAATAAATATATAATAATAGATAGGAAGACAGTTTTGGGTTAATTTTCAAGACAAGCAATAATGCATCAAGTTCTGAGAATCAAACAGTTAACCGATTCGTTGCGGCACCAATTTTCGACAACTTTTAGCTGTGGCGGCGAACAAATATTTCAAGACACGCCTATTGTGCCATCCGCCATGTGTAAAAGTAATGTTCTTTTTTATGCTTTTTTTTACTTGTTTAGTCCTAATTAAGTTTATTTGACATCAAACATAAGTTACAAATGGAAGGATACTTGTTTTTAGTGGGTAACTACGTGTTTTGTTACGCGTTTTCTTTGAAATTGAGAGAAAGTGACTTTTTTATGAAGAGATTACAAACCTTTTGTACTATTTTTTGTTGTTATAAAAAAATCATTTATATAAGTAGGTACAGCTAAATCACCCTGGAAACCTTGGTTTTTATTAAATTAAATTTTCACCTAATAATAACATTTGTAAATATCAAACAATGAAGAACCTTAATTTGAAAAAAAAAATAAGGTACATCATTGATATTTACAAATGTTAAATATTATTTAATGTTATACAAATGAAAAAGTAAAGTCGATCTGAAAACGTCTAATTAGTAAGAATAGCAAAACAAGTGTTTTCAAAAAGAAAAAAATGCCGGCGGATTGACAAGACTTTTTTTGATGAACGGTTTCGAACTGTTGCAAACAAAAATAAACCTTATACCATATCACAAGAGCACATGGTACTTCGTAGGTCTATTCGGCCATATGATAGTAATAAGACGGCAGTTCAACCATTTTAAGCAAAATTTAACAATAAGACAAACGCATTGTTTTTTTTAACAGGAGACTTGTTTTCCAGAAATTTATCTACAACTTGACTTTGTGACCGATCGCAATGAGTGCTATTATTTGTTACTTATTAGACAATTTTTCCATAACATGATTTAAAACCCACAAAGTAAAAATAGTACCATGTACACGTTAAAAAAAGGTTGTCAAACCCTAAAAATTTAAAATTTTCAAAATATCCAGAAACGAAGCTGCATGCATGAACTACTCGCAAAATAATGAATATTTTGTTCTGGATAAATTTTCCAAAAAAGCAATTTGAGTGAGTTATAACGATTTTTAAAGTAATTTGATGGCACGCCTGGCGTGTCACCCGCACTGAACCAGTTAATTTTGCAAAAATATTAGCTCCAGCAAGGTTTTAGAACCGACAACACAACTAAAGCTAGGACAGTAGTTGATTTTGCTACTTAATTATTAATTAGAGACAGTTTTAAAATGTTAATTGATCCAAATTTTAATATTTTCTTATTAATAAATGTAGTATTTAATAAATATTATAAATTTACTTTCATCTACCCTTATATTGGTTCCTTAGTAGGCAGATTTCATAGTAGTTCCAGCAGTAGACTGCCACACGCTGTTCAAGATGATACATTTATAGTTCAAATTTTACAGTATTTAAACATTTAAATAAAAAAATAGTGTCACCTAAATCTTTTTGTTTTGTTACATCACCAATACTTTCTAAATACTCCTCATACTTCTCCCTTTCTTCTTCTTGTCTCATTTCTTCCAATTTCTTTTTATAAGCCGAAGTTACAAAAACTTCTTTGTCTGCAAACTCCTCGCCCTCCTTTTCCCTCTCCTTTTGTATCTAAAACAATTTTAACAGTATGTTTATATAAACTGTATACAGCATAATAGTATATTACTTTAATTAGGAAATTTTTGATCATAATAATATTAATTTATAATGAAAAGTGAATTATAACATACAGACTAGCCTAAACTTTCAGCTCAGAAATATAAAATAACATCATAAAAATATTTTTTATTGATATCCACCTGTCTTTCCATTCTGCGTTCATTTTCTATTTTTCTTTTATTAGCAGCTTTAATCAAATTTTCTATATATTTTGGCTTTTTGGCGTCATTGTTTTTTTCCTTTTTCTCCTCCTTCTTAATTGTCATTGAATCATATATTTCATCATATTGATAAACAGTAGGATCTTCTAACACAGCTTTTTCTTGAGTAATTTTACTCTGCAATTATAAAAATAAATCTATCCAATATATATAATTATTTAAGATACTAGCTGGCCCAGCACAGGTTTAGTCTCTACCAGTAAATGGTGAAAAGAGTCAATCCGAATTCACTCTGGACATTCAACCAAAGTACATATAAAATTTATAAATAAGTCGATCTCAGCTTAAGTACCTCGAAATGCCCCATACATGGTGCATGCACAGTGATATGTTCAATTTAATGGAGTTTTATTGCATTCAATGATATAGATATTAAGAAGGCTAATTTCCTCATTGTAGTTGCTATTCTAAGAAATTTTGATTGAGTAAGATCAAACTTTTTAAAATATGCAACATTACTTAGTTCTAAACTTAGACTACATTAATCCAGCACGCTGATACATACACTTAGCATTGCAATGAAATTTACAGAAATATAATTAAACTATACTTAATAGACGTCTATGAAATATGGTTATTTCTTTTGCTTTCTGCTGATTTATACATGTTCACAAAGGCAAACCATATAAATATGACTTGATAATGACCCAACTAGGTTTTATTTTTCTCAGGAAGGTTTTTCTTACACAATGAAACATGTTAAGGAAAGATACTGCTCCATCAGGGTAAAACATAGTTTTAGTTTTGTCAAACATAGCTTTAGTTTTGGATACAGATAGTTTGAGCACATAATAATTTAGAACATACATGTTGAAACTTGGGAAAATTCTACAATAAGTCACAAACCATTTAAATTTATGGCTCACTTGGAAATATAATGAAAGACACATTATCGACTTACTAAATAATTTTCACAGTACCCTTGATATAATAATTTAAATCTAAGGTGTAAATAATAAATAACAGTGTGCATAATACAATATCTATCATCAGAACATCATTTATCTACACTAACATAATACAACTAAATTAAATATATTGATAAATAACTGACTTGTCTATTAATGTTGTCGCTGGGTTTCAGCAAGACTGGCTTCTTGTTTGACTCATCATCGGAATCTGTGTCATCACCAAAAACATTACGAGTTGCTTGAAATGTAGGTTGCTTATTTTTCGGGTTTTCCGATAAAATAAGGCCATACCTGTAAAAATGTTTAGTATGACTATTAGTATGATTTTAAACAGAATTAATTATACAATCTTACGCCACGCACTTTTTGCTTGTCATAATAAATAGCAATATTAAAAATTAAATAAATTCCCCGTTCCCATTTAATATAAACATAAACTTAAATGTTTAAGAATTCACTTTCACGTTTCTATTTTTCATTTTCATAGATAAATATATATGTAGCAAGCTATTTTCTATATCATACTATACTCTATGTTCTATATAGTTTGTGGTCTGTGACAGGAGTTTTGGCGGGAACTTGACCGGCGGCGGTTTGCTGTTCCTGTATTATTGTTTAAATAATGGTTTGATGTGGACTTTGATACGTAAAAGTGGTGCGATTTTGTGTATTAAGTGTCTGCGCATGTGAACTATTAGCGGAAACTGTGAAACAAGTGCTCTGATGGTGATGTGATTCTCAAAATAAGGTGTCTGTCTGCTTAGGCGCCTTGAGATACCATCGCCAACCGTCAGCTGTCTGCTGACTCAAGTTGCCATTAAAATCTCCCAAGAGCTACACAATGTGACGCATCAATCTGTGACATATTTATGGTGATATCCAGGGTTGCCAATGCCAATGTATGTGATTCCCCAAAAATCCGAAGAAAATACCCCAAATTTGGGGACAAAAATCTCCTGATTCCCCACAAATTCCCCTCAATATTATTTTAAACAATAAAACAAGTTTTAACTATTTAAATAATATTTATTTTTTAACCTTTTTTCATACGTTTGATGCAAGCATTTGCTCGAAGGATTATTAAACTTGAAACTGCCGCCCAATTTTTTTATCCCCTCTCTTGTTGCCATTAAGCCGATTGCGGTTTTCTGTTTTTAAATATCGAAGTACACTAGGTTTTGTTTAGACCGATGCGTTTGAAAATGGCAGTATGAGCAACAAAGACGTAACAATTTTTATGTTTGGAAATATGTATTCTCACTTTACTCCAGTAATTTTCGGCTTCGATGTTATCTCCATGAATTGCAAGCCAATGATGATCAAAATCTAACAAAGCGTGAGTTCACCACTGGTCATCTAATTTTTGTGCGGTCACAAATATATAAAACACAAAAACTGTTGAGCTTCTGATGGATTTACAGCGGATATAATAGAAAATAAAGGGTCCCCAAATTCAAATTGCTTGGTAATGTCTGATGTCTGCAATAGCAGCACGAGGTACATTTCCGTTATTTTTTAAATTTTCCATACTTTCTCCAGCCTTTGATCTAATATATATTTCGTTTAAACTTAGAAAATGTGTTAGATTTTTGAAGTCTGCGCGCGTTAGTGAGCATATTGCAATAGGTGGATAGCAATAAAAGCGATAAAGAATGTGTTTCACAATTTTATTTTAAAAAAGGAATATAGTGGTAAACGATGGTTATGCTATCCCACCCGGGCATTGTTTCACTTTTTTACCCAGACTGAACCACAATCAAGGCTTCAAAAAAGATGTTCCTACAGGCTCGAGAACATTTTATTAAAACAGGGAAGGAAGCGGGAGCGGCAAACTGCTGTATTTAATTAATACGAGTATAATAAAAATTGTTAAATATTATGTTTATTTATTTCTTTTTAATAACTTGCATATGTTAAATAGTAAATATAAGGTTAAATAAACCAAATACCTGATTCGATTCCCCGCTAATAAAAAAAATTACTTGATTTTTTTTATAGGATAAGGGTGACAAACGAGCACACAGACCACCTGATGGTAAGTGGTTGCTGTGGCCCATAGACATCTACATTTATCTTCGATTAAGAATCAAAATGCAGATGCGTTGTCACCCGTGAGGACTAAGATGGAATGCCTCGTTTCCAGTAAAAAGGGTCTCCGGTTCTCTACACTCACCATACGAAACACAGCAGCGTTAAACTGCTATTTTACGCTGGTATTCTGTGAGAGCGTGGTCCTTCCCCGGTCGAGCCGACCCATTCGTGCTACAACTACAGGGTGGGGCAGCATAACTTCCTTTTTTTAAAACCTAATAAAACACATTGTATGAATCGGAAAAATTTTATTTGGTTTTTACAATGTAAGTACATACTTAAAGTTTTGTTTTATTTAGTTTTGAAGATCAAATCAGGTAGATGACGTCCCTTATTCTCTATACATTGAGTATACCGATTTCGGGTGTTTGTCATAACTCTTTGAAGCAGAGCAGGCGTTATGTTGGCAATTTCTTCCTGGATGTTGTTCTTTAAATCTTGTAGGGTCCTTGGACGGTTCACATAAACACGGGATTTCAAAAAACCCCATAGAAAAAAGTCACAAGGGGACAAATCGGGAGATCGGGCCGGCCACTGCAAATCGCCCCTGATTGAGATAAGGCGTTCTGGGAAGTGTTCTCTCAAAACAGCCATCGATGCTCTTGCAGTGTGTGCCGTTGCACCGTCTTGTTGGAACCAAATGTCTCCCAAGTCCAACGCATCCAGCCGGGGTAAAAAGAATTCCTGTAACATGTTTACATACCGGCCCGAATTCACTGTTACTGTGACTTCATTTTCCTCAAAGAACCAGGGACCAATAATTGCAGCTGAGGAAATTGCACACCACACTGTGACCTTAGGTGAATGCAAAGGCCTTTCATGCAATTCTCGAGGATTGGTGTCAGCCCAGTAGCGCATGTTTTGTTTGTTCACGGATCCACACAAGTGAAAATGTGCTTCATCACTAAAAAAAACAATAGCGTCCTCAGGAACGACATCCAGAAGAATCTCACATGCGTTCCTGCGAGAATCGTAGTCACGTTTTGACAGTTCCTGTACAGTCGCCATCTTGTATGGATGGAAATGTAAGTCTTCATGGAGAATTCTCCGCACAGAACGACTGGAAAGTCCAAGGGCAGATGCATGTTTGCGCGCAGAACGCCGTGGTGATCGCAACATTGAAGCTCTGACTGCCTCAATGTTCTCAGGTGATCTAATGGGCCGAGGGACTCCAGTTCTTCGTTTTGTCACACTTGCAGTTTGTCTAAACGTAGTGACCCACATAACAATTGATTTTCGGTCTGGAACAGGGGCCAACGGGGCTAAATTAAAGCGATTTCGAAAGGCGCGCTGAGTTGCAATCACAGAACATCCGCGCGAAAAGTAAGCCTCAACAGCAAACGCACGCTCCTCACTGTTCCAACGCATTATGGCGACTGAGCTGTCTCGACTAAACTTTATAGCCCCCCCTCTCGAACGAGACCACTAGCGCTCCACTACGATGTCACCTGACCGAATGGCGCGCATTACAAATAAGGAAGTTATGCTGCCCCACCCTGTATAATATAGCTGCAGCATGGCTCTACCACGTATAAAAAGTATAAAAAAATGTTAACAAGGATAGAGTTATGCTTTTTTATCCATCGTGCAGGTATGTTTATTATTCTGATGTATTCAGTTATGTACCTATTCAGATCCGTTCAGTACTTCAGTTCAGTTATTTAAAAAAATCAGGTATGAAACAGCTTACCGATCTAAATCCTCCGTGGCCTTATGAGATTCTCCAAGGCACATTATAACATGTTGCCGTATTCACGAACATTATAAACGTACGCGTAAGCCCGATACAGAAAGAAAGCTGGTAGGCGGCGGCGATCTACCAGCGCTTATCGGCGCTGGTCTATTCTGGTAACAGTTACATAAAGCAAGCTGACTGAAGCAGAGCGAGCAAAATGTCGTACTCGTCGGACGATGAATTAGTTTTGTTAGAAAATGTGTATTTTAAAATGCCAAAATAAGCTATACATCCTATTAATAGAGAAAGGTATCGTTTCGAAGAATACCATCATTTATTTGTAAAACAATTAAAAATTGATGATTTGATGAATTTAAAATGTTTTAACGTGGTTTAAATATACACTTGTACAGTCAACAGCAGATCAAGCGTAACACTTTGAGATTTGTACCGACATTATAGGAGATATATATAAACTGGAGAGTTTCCTGCTGATCGGAGCATCAAGGTCGTAGTAGATGGTCCATGCTCTGGTTACAAACCTGTTAACGCTGGTGTTCAACAAGGCTGCGTCCTCTCACCAACGCTGTTTCTTCTGCATGTCAATGATATGTTGCAAACTGGTAACATTCATTGCTATGCAGACGACAGCACTGGTGATGCCTTAAACACCGGCCGTGCCAATATTTCTCGGGAAAATGACGTCGAGTACCGGGACAAACTTGTGTCTCAAGTCGAGTGTTTGCTGAGCAAAGTCTCAGATTGGGGGCGACTAAATCTTGTCCAGTTCAATCCCCAGAAAACCCAAGTTTGCGCGTTTACCGTTAAATAGAACCCCTTTGTAGTATCTCCTCAGTTTTAAGTCACTCCATTTGCTGCCTCAGCTAGCATCGAAATCCTAGACGTCGACATATCAAATAGTGTGCAGTTCATGGTCACCTGGAAGGAAGGCCAAATTGGCCTCTAAAATGCTTGGCGTGCTCAGCAGAGCGGGACAGTATTTCATGCCTGCACATCGCTTGCAACTTAGCAAAGCGCAAGTTCGGCCTTACATGGAATACAGTTCTCATCTCTGGGCCGGGGCACTCCAGTGCCAGCCCCTTCCACTTGACCGCATTCAGCGCAGAGCGATTCGAATCGTCGGCGACACAGTTTTTTCTGATCGGCTCGATTCACTGGCGCTAATTAGGGATGTCGCATCCCTTTGCATTTTCTATCGCATCTAACATGGGGAGTGCTCTGAGGAATCGTTCGGATTAATTTCAGTTGCCAAATTTCACGAACGCACATCGCCTCAAAACTCACGATATCATACTCACCATCTGGATGCTTAGCGGTCCACCACAGTGTGTTTTACTAGGAGTTTTCTTTCTCGCACAATTTCTCTGTGGAATTGTTTACAATCATGTAGTTTACAACCAATAAAATCCGCGTAAAAGAACACATAGCTGACGTGAAACACCAACGGAGTCTGTCTGGTCTGGAATCGAAGGCGAGTGCATAACTCGTCTTCGATTTGCCTCCTCACTACTCATCACCTCAGCACTATGCTCCATGGCCTCAATAGTGTCTTCCAACGAATAGGTCTTAAAATGAATATGGACAAGACAA